GGAAGTGTAGCAAGAATGATTATTGTTGCTAATAATAATAAATAACAATAATAATAATAATTATTACAAAATTTATGATGATAGTAATAGAGTTGGGTTTGTCTATCTTTTCCACTATAAAAACATTAATTTTGTGTTACTTGTACAACAATTTATACAAGTTGTTCTACTTTTTATAACTTGTAATTTGGCCTTTTACCTATCTTGGCATGAATAAGAAGGTGATGTATTATATCCATCAATTGAAGGTATTTTATGGAGTTCCTTTTAAATTCTTGATAGCATGTCTCGATTTTAAGCCTGTATATGAGAAGTCGGAACCTCTAATAATAAATATTTCTTGTTTAACAGGGTGGCCTTTAATAATACGATGACGTGATGAAGCAGATAGAATTCTTTTAATGATATTATGATGACGTGAAGGTGGTGAAGAAGGAGTTCTTTCAATAATATTATGATGTGAAGATGGCATAAAGTTGATGAAGTTTTTACAATGACGTGAAGAAAAGATATGAGGAGTAGAAGAAATAAAAATACTAGGGAATATTAGAGTGTTAAGGGGATATTGAATATCACTAAAATTATATATTAAATATGTTATAAATGTCATTTACTGATCATTTTAATTGTGTTCCAGAGCGTTTTGATAGTACAATCTTTGTTATAAAACTTTCTTAAATTCAATCTAAAATTACAAAGTAGAATAAAAGAAAAATTTACCTTCTAGCCTAACATTTAATATAACCCAAGTATTTATTCAAAAAAACCTTTGTTCCTCTTAAACTTATTTAAAGTTATTTGTATGATTGTCTTTTCTTTCCAGCAAGAAGATTTTTTTTATCTGCCATAAAAAGAATCATTTTTGAAAGGTAATTGCAATCCAATTGCTTTTTTAACATTATCAGCCATCATCGTAGATACTGGATAACAAATGTCCAAGATTCATAGAAACCAAATCCAACTCAACACTTTCTATTATTAGATCTTTGATATCAGATAGTTTGAATGATGATGATTTGTGCCCCATTTATTACCAACAACTTTTTTTTGTATCTTATACAAGAAGTCTTACTTCTACACCATTAGTTAGAAGAGATAAAGTGGGATTTGGAACCAACTTTAGTTTTTTTTTCCCAGAAATTCATATAGTTTATTATAATTTATAATTAAAAAGATCAAATTTTTTTATTTGTTTTGGATAAAATGGTGTAATGTTGTTCAACAGAAATTTGTGCGAGTTTATCCGTATGACCTCTACCAGATGTTTGTTACCTGCATACCACCTTATCTTTTCTACAGATATTATTATTATTATTATTATCATTATCATGGTGCATTGCTGTCGTTGAATTATTTATTTTTCATTTACAATAAAAATATCTAATACTAAACTATTTTTGTATA